CAATAAATAAGGTGAGTTTGTCCGTGTATAGTACTGGCAGACAGGAATGTTATTAAGCAACCAAGCAAGGGCAAAACTTAGAGGTGCTCCTGTCCCTATACCAGAAGCTTAAAAAAATAAGATAACGTCAGGCTTTCCAATTGCCCTGAATGACAATCCCAGTACCAGTACAGATTTCTCAAGATGGGAGATCCCAGATTCCAACAGGAAAAATGCAGAGCCAGGACTGTGTTCCTGACCCCTGATCAGGATAAAGGTAATTAATGATCAGCAAATATAAAATGATATTAGAGAAACTAGTCAGTGCAGCGATCCATCAGGAAGAAAAGAGTGGTTTTTGGATACAATAATGAGTCTCCTGGACCAAGGAGTGCTGGAAGCAGCGAGGAGGGCTGTCGCTCTGGGTTTGGTGGGGAGCGGTGCACAGGACCTGCTTTGCAAGGTGTTTGTGGGAGAGCTGTTCTCTGCTAGTGACCACAAAACAACCAATTTAATGCTGTAGTGGGAGAGAGCACACCAAATAAATCCAGCGTGTGGCTCTACAATTTCAAGAAAGGAAACTATGAAAAAATAAGGTGATTAGTCAATAACAACAAAACAAAAAGGAACAGACAGAAAGCAAGGAGCCTGCAAGCAGTCTGGAGGTGATTAAAAAATGCTCTATTAAAGCCCAAGTAAAACATGTGCCACAACTCAAAAAGAACTAAGTCGTCCTAAAAAACACCCTGCCTGACTCACCGCTAAGGTTAAGGAGGTATCACAGGGAGAAGGTCAGTATTTTAAAAGTGGAAAGGTTTCCCACGTGGCGAGAGAAGGAAGACCCATAAAACATAGCAAGTAAAGTGTAGACAGAAAATTAAAAGAGCTAAAAAAGAGCATGAAGATCTCCTTGCAAAGATCTTTAAAAAAAGTTTCTTTAAATATATCAGAAGTAAGAAGCTGGCTAGGGAGCCATTGCTCAATAGAAAGGTGCAATAGGGTACCGAGGAGGCTAAGGCATGACAAGGCAGCTCAGGCACGACCGTGTGTTGGTCTTCACTGCTGCAGGTATTTGGGAGATCCTCACACTCAGCTCATTCTTTGTAGCCTGTAAGTTAGAGGACTTCAATGTGACTTTACAAATGGCTACTGTACCAGAGGACTGGCAGGTTACTAGTGTAGCTCCCACCTACAAACCAAGCTCTAGGAGGGGACCCTGGGAGCTGCAGGGGTGAGTGTCACCTCTGTCCTTGCTGGGGTGGTTGGGTCTGCACCAGCAGGGAGCACGTGAGCAGACAGGCGGGTGGGAAAGAGCCATCAGACACGGCTGCCGAAGAGGGAAAGCCTGCCTTGCCAGTGTGCTGGGACTCTAGGAAAATATCAGTGTGCACACGGATAGGGAGAATGCAACAGGCAGAACAGACGGACATTTTCAAAAAGATTTTGGCAAAACTATTTTTAAAAGTTTTCATTGCCATGGGGTTGAAACAATGGTCGTTTTATGGATTGAAACCTAGTTAAAAGATATTCCTACCTTGCAGGTAGCAAAGTACAGGGTTTAACAGACAGTTTTTGAGGACAAATGAGGTCAGCACCGGGTTGCCCAAGAATCTCTGCTGGGTCTGGTTTTATCCAACATCTTCATTTGTGGCATTGGGGAGGGAATGGACAGCAAAATCTCCAGGTTTGTGGATGATGCTAAGCTCTTTTGGGAATAAAATGTTTTGTCACTGACAAAGGGCTCCAGAAGAACCTTGCAAAAGTGAGTGAGTGGTCAAAAAGGGCAGCTGAGATGGACACGCCAGGGAAAGCTGCAGGCTGGTGCCAGAGGCCTCGGGAAGCTGTCTGGAGTTAGCGTGGATTGGAGGAGTCCTGGGCCGGGTGAACTAGCTCCCTCCATCATCGTCTAACTGGACAAACATGTCCCCACTCTAAATTTGTGACCCATTAACGTAGCAACAGGCTGTTTCTCTTTTTCTCTCCTCTGAGGCTGAGACCTCATAAGACTAGAGGATACAGAAATGCTTGAGGCAGTGATAAATCTTCTTTAGTGGGCTTTTATTTCCTTTTCTTTCACAATATTTTCTTTAGTTTCCTAGCCAAATTTTTTCTAAGGAAAGATTTCTGACTTCCTTTGAGCCACAGCTCAACATCTGTCCACATTGGGGGCTGAAGTAATACACTGTTAAGGGGTTTTGATGTCAAGCCCAAAACCCCACCAGGGATTTATGCAGCTCTCCCCTTTCCTCCCTCCTCCTCTTCAAACAGCCTTTCATTTGCTCTCACTAATTGTGCTGTCATGCCTTTCTTTTTTTCCCCCGGTTGTGCAGACAGCCTTTCATGCAGACAGGTTTCGGTGACAGATGTCTGTGCCATGAGCTTCCCGAGGAGGCGGGCTGCGCTGCAGAGCGTGCGCATCGTCTGAAGGCGCCGAGCCGCGCTGAAATGATCCAGGCACCCATCCAGCCCGGGGATGGATTAGGCAGTGGCTTCCCTGCCCTTCCCCCC